GGAGGGGGAGGGGAGCGCTGACTCACCCGCCGCGTCACTGCTGGTGGGGGGTGGTTCTCCTTAGCGCAACATGTCACACTATTATATCTCTTAACCAATACTAAGATGTACATTGATTTTTTAAAATTATTACAAATTATTTACAAAGCAGAGTTCAATATTTGTTTTAATATAGGACACGAACCAAATTGTTCCCAGATTAAAACAAATATTGGACACTACTTTGTAAACAGACTATTTGTAATAATTTTTAGATGTTGTAATAAATCAACGTACATCTTAGTATTAATTAAAAGATATAATATTTATATCTATGACATGGTAATTGTACGATGGGAAATCATAATGTATTAATTATCACCATGAGAAAATCATAATTTAAAATATTGTTCTATATAGGAGATAGCCCATTTCCTGAGCTTACCAAATAGTCAAATTTTCCCATGCCAAGTGGAGGCTCATGCTGTGATATGGTTCCTGCATTTGCAAGGGAAATCTGCCAGGCAGACCCACGACCAGATGACCGCTGTGCATCAGGAAGGTGTACCCATATATGACAGTGGTCAGGTGGAAGAGGCGCTTTCATTGTGGACAGACAAACCTTGAAGATAAACTCCGAAGTGGAAGACCATCTCTCGCTGAGGAACTGGGAATTGTGGCACAAGTGGAAGCTTTGATCCTATCCAATAGGCGCATAACTATCGAAGCATTAGCCATGGGTCGGTTTCCAACATCATCCACGATGAGATACACATTACAAAGGTCGCTGCACGTTTGGTGCCACGATTGTTGACACCAGTTCAAAAATAGCAACGAATGGAAGTGGCAAAGAAACTTTTGCAGTTGTGTCAAGACAAAAAGGTGGAATTTCTCAACTGCCTGATCACGATGGATGAATGTTGGGTCTATCATTATGACCCTGAAACAAAGGAAATAAGCAAGCAGTTGAAACATGCAGACTCGCCACTACCAAAGAAGGCCAAATCCCAGCTGTCATCAGGAAAGGTGTGTCTTGGGGTCGGTGGGGTGTCATCATGACTGACTATGCACAAAAGGGCGTCACCATCACTGGCGAGTACTAGCAGAACCTTCTGAGAAAACTATGGGAGGAAACCAAGAAAAAGTGACGCGGAATGCTGGGAAAAGGTGTGCGACTTCTTCACAACAACGCACATGCTCATGCTATGACGACGCTTGCTGCCAGTTTGGGATATGAAATTCTCCCCCATCCACCATATTCACCAGACCTGGCGCTGAGCAACTTCCTCCTCTTTCCACAGCTAAAGAAGCCACTTTGTGGTAAGCGATTCCAAGATGATGACGTCATTTCTGCAGCAGAGGATTTCCTAAAGATTCAGAATGAGACCTTGCATGATGGAGGTATCCAGCAGCTAATGCATCATTGGGGAAAACGTGTGGCCTTGCAGGGGGCATACGTAGAGAAGGACTGACGCACATACAGTTTCTTGCGCCTGTGTCTCTGTTTCTTCTGGGTGTTAATTAAAATTTTATGACTTCCCCATGTAGTTTCCATATGTGTTGATAATATTCTTCTGAAGATGGTCTTTTTGACCGAAACACGTAAATGACGAAAAATTAAAATACACAACTTTTATCAATCACACTGGACAGTGGTTAAAAATCTTATATACAATTAGGAAGATTTTTTTTTTTCAAAACAGAGACTAGATGTCTATATGTAATTCCATAAAATTATGTTGGAGAGCTTTAATCTGAAAGCAAGGGAATAACTCAATTTGACATCATGTATGTATTACAACAGCAATATATATCTGCTGCTGGTTTAAAGTACATTCAATGATAAAATACGGTGAAATTCCTACTTAAGGTTTCTTTTGGGGGCAGTTGATTTGAAAATTAAACAAATATCTCACATCAAGGTAATTTCATAGTGAGATTATTCACTTGGGATCATTCAACGTGAATGTTAAATGATGGAAAAACCTTATATTTGGAACATTAAATGGTAGCTTCACTGTAATATGATTCACAGAGGTACATGTATACAGTCACCTCAGTAATACCAGGAAGTAAACAGTAATAGGCTACCGAATGTACACTTCGGTAAATTTTAATCTGTCCATCAAGACTGGCATGCCATGAAGTGTTTTTGTCTTGTTCATCTGGTATGAAGGTTGTTCTTTTCCTGGAAAGACTGCTTGAAGGGTGTAGATTCCAGATCTTTGTTCTGCCACTGGCCTTCCATAAAATAGAACAGCCAATTATATTTTGTCTCTGTCCTTCAAAATGAAGACCAGCATTGAAGAAGTTAATCCATACAATCTTCCCTGTTTGCTCTTCATGATTTGTANGCAGAACCTTCTGAGAAAACTATGGGAGGAAACCAAGAAAAAGTGACGCGGAATGCTGGGAAAAGGTGTGCGACTTCTTNATAAGTATACTTTGTATTCAAGTGCAAGCATTTTCTGTTTCAACAGTTAGGGTCAAAACTTTTAAATTTAAATAATAGAAAGTTCAATTGCAGAACAATGTTCAATTCCTGTTCACTAGTGAGTGACACAATATACAGCGAAATAAGCAACAGGACTGAAAAGGAAGTTCGGAGGATGTCACATAACGAACATTTCTCATTTGCTAAAATCTAGAAATGGTAAGCTACTCACAGCTGAATTCTAGACCGATTTCATTCTCCATGATAAGTGNCGTGTGGCCTTGCAGGGGGCATACGTAGAGAAGGACTGACGCACATACAGTTTCTTGCGCCTGTGTCTCTGTTTCTTCTGGGTGTTAATTAAAATTTTATGACTTCCCCATGTAGTTTCCATATGTGTTGATAATATTCTTCTGAAGATGNTTCTTTGTTCTAAGAAAGATTTTTCCACATATGTAAGGTTAAGAAACTGAGGGTGCCAAATATCTGTCAAAATATAATGTATTTTTTTTATCCCAATTATATATTTTTTTTCCTTGGCACTACAGCCCCAGTGGGCCTAGGCCTACCTCCATGAACTCCATTCACTTTGGTTTTTCTAGATCTTACACAT